CCCCAAAACCCCCAAAACCCCAAAACCCCATTCAAGAATATTGATTATAAATATATAAAATGAGGTAACAATGATTATATTAATTTAAGCCATCAATTATAATAATGTCAAAATTAAAGAATGTAGCTTAGGCAGCTTCAGTTGGTTTGCACTAGAATGACTCATTAAAAGAAATTAGCAGGCTTTTACCATGGAATTTGAAGTCCTATCTTATGAAGAAAGATGTTCAAGATCTTGAAGCACCAGTCAACCTAGAAAAATACTTACCTTTGCAGTTTTATAATAGTCTTTACAAAGATTATGCTGAGGCATTGTATGAAAATGATTTTTAGACATTGAGAAGATTATTAGAGCCTAAGTTTGCTTAATAAGTGGGCAATAATTTGGAGACATTATTTAAGGACCACTTAAATGATTAGGATTCAAGTAGAAATGAACAGCATAAATATAATCTAAGAATATAGAATAATCGTAAAAATAAAGATCATACTGATGTCTTTCTTTACCATATTGAAAACTACATGCTTATTGGATGTGACATTGATAGAAGAGAAATTACCAAAGACAAGAAATTTTAGATTATTGAAGATGAAAAAATTACTCTTGATGTCCCATAAAACATTTAAGGCTAAATGATGCTGATTAAATAAGAGATTCCAGTAAAGTAAGTCATTGAAGTGGATAAAGTAAGCAAAAATACCAAGTCAATTTTAATGATGAGGATGCATCTACTGGTCTCATCTTACTTGAATCTTTATGTTGAAGATCCAAATAGTTTAAATCAAGTAATTGGCAACAAGATCACTCAGTTTTCTGAAGAAAACATGAAATCACACACAATGATAGTTGACAAAAAAGTAGCAGAACTCTATTTGGGAGACGCTTTGCTAGATTAGTAAACACAAATTGATGAGCGATTAATAAAATCATTTGGAAAATAAGAAGAAGCTTATATTTCAGATTTTGATGGATTTATGAAAGGCAATCATTTCCTTAGCTTTTGATGCTATTCATTTAGTTTATCAGGGTTTAATTAGGATTTTAAATATATTGGGAGATTTATACAATTTTAGAACTCTCTAATTAATGATTAAATATGTCTGTGGGGTTTTGGGGTTTTGGGGTTTTGGGG